AATAATAAGACACCTTTCGGATCATTATTGCAACACAGCCCCTGATCTACTATACAGGCCAAGAAACTAAGTTCTTGGTGGTCATCCCTACAAATCATCGCAGTCCCTCTTTCAGCACAGGGTGCTCCCCACACACTTGTCTGAAGACATTAGCCAAAACATTACTATGGGGGGAAAAGCAGCAAGAGGGCACACACCACCATCGCTGAGAAGGTTAATGGAAATAAAGCGGAAAGCCTTCACCTACCTTGTGCAAATCATGAGAGAGAGTCCAGCCCAGCCAATGGAACTCAAGGAAGACAGACCCAAGCCAATAAAAGGTTCAGATGAGGATAACTGAACAGACACAGAAGCCCTCTGTACCAGACTTCTGCTTTTTCCTTCTGCTTTTTTCCCTAAGTAATGTTCAATCTCAGAAGACATGGTTGATCAGATTTTTTTAACCTGAAGATACACAGGGTGGGGCAAAAGTAGGCTGAGTTGTGAGTATGTGACGCAGAGTTCACAAGGCTATGTAAGAAGCATGACCTGCATCTCTTTTTCCGTTATGAACAACTGTCAACCTACTTTCACCCACTGCTGGATATTCAACACAGAACCTGGGATGGAGGTCTGGGGGAAAGCTCCCTTTTGAGCCTGAAAAACAAGCACTCTTTCATGAAATATATAGTGATTTTATAACATAAGGGAATATGGTTTAGTTCAGACACCCATTAAACGCCTTTTGGGTCATGTACCACTGTGGATACAAATGAAGCTAAACCTGGGCATGGGTGAGTGGCCCTTAGAGTCTGGGGCGTAAGGCACGCTGCTATGACAGTCTCTGCCATCAGAGGCATCCACAGGGTAGGGGCATGTGTGTGCACACATGCCGCACACATGCCGCACACCTGCCATGGAAGGTTGGGGGTAGAGATTTTCAGGAAGGACTCTTTGGAAAAGGTGATACTGGATCCGAGTCCTGAAAAAGGGGGGAGTTACCCAGACAATCCGTGCAGGCCGAGGATGGAGAAGAAGAATTCTAGGCAGAGGTTCAGTAGTTGCCAAAGCAAGGTGGGTGTGAGGAGTCTGCGGGAAGTTCATTTTATAAGAAAATAAAATTTGGGGAAGGGCATGGAGCAGGAAGGTGGGAAGGGGTCGAAGAAGGCTTAGACTTTGCCCGGTCATTACAAATGGCCGGCAGCCTGGGGACGTGGTGTCACTGGGGGAGGGGCGGAGCAGAGCACAGTGGAACATTCCCTGGCTGAGCGCTGAGCAGACCTGGGCCAGGACTGTGCAAAGGCAACCGTGGCACTTTGGTACTGTGTGGTAAGTGGGGCCCACCACGTTCGAAAGGCTGGGAGCTCCCGAGGCACCTGGGACCTCCATGTGGAGTCTACCCTCTTGCTCCCAGGGAGGCCGTGAGACAGTGGAAAGGCGGTGAGGTCTGGGAAATGGTCTGTAAACAGCAGAGACTGCCTCTCGACACAGGGGAGGTAACACTAGATTGACGTGTTCACTACCCTCCTTCCGGCGACTTGGGGGCAACACCACAGAAATAGGAGCGAGAGCTCCCCCTCCAATCTGAGATACCTGACCTATGATACAACATAACCACCCCTTCAGGGGCAGGCTTTGTCCCAAGACAAGAAGGAGGCACTGGGTTTTATCAGCAGGGACACACGCAGACTTGGGTTTGAGGGGCAGAAGGAAAGTCATCCCAGCAGCCACATGGAAGACGGTTGAAAGGGGTGCAGAACCAGGCGTAAGAAAGCAGGTGGGGGACCAGGTGGGGAGGCACTAGGGAATCCCAGGCTGCCATGGTCTCCTAGCCAGTGGTCTCCCACCTGTGGCCACTGGCCCATGGGAGCCAGGAGGCTACTGTAAGCAAGGACCATGGGTCCAGGGCGCGCTGGAAACTCCATGACAGCCAAGTGTTGCCACATGGGAATAGAACTCTCATGTTCCAGGTCTTATGACTTCTAAGAGAAGCTATAAATCCAAGTGACATCTTAATATTTCTAAATATAACTCAATGTTTGTATACTTTGTCCAGGGCCAACAACACATCTGCCAGCTATAAACAGCACACTGGCCACCCTTTGGCCAGGTCTGTACTCTGTGGAAAGTAGAGCAAGGCCAGTGTGAGGACAGCAGACGCTTCCAGGACTTCACAGCCTGGAGAAGTAGCATGACCCGGCAGCTGTCTGGGTGTGGCGGGTGCTGAAGAGTCTGGGGTCTTCATGAGCTTCCTGCTTTAGCACCCTGGTGCATGGTAGAGCCATACCCAAGACATACATACATACATACATACATACATACATAAGAGGGACACATTTTGGCTAAGGATGAAATGGGTATGGGTTGGATGATGAGAACTAAAACCAGTTTTGGACTTAATGTAGGTTTCTTGCCTGCAGTCCACTGGCCTATAGGTAACTAGCTGGAGACACCAATCTGGGACTCACTTTGCACTTGGTGATAGCTGGAGCTGCAGGCACTTCGTCACCCAAAGACTCTGTAGAGCAGAAGAGGAATAAGGACAGAGCCCTGGGTGACCCCAGGAGGTCTGGGGAGGCAGAAGGAAAAGCGGGTGGAGATGACAACTAGGGAAGGAAGAAAGCAGCAAAAAGGAAGGAAAGACCCGTACCTCGTTCCACACTGAGGCTGGGAGGGCATCCACACAGCTCTTGCAGGCATTAGGGGGTCTGCTACTTTGGGGAGACTGCTCAGCTTGCAGAAAGTCAGAAGGAGGGGGTGACCCTGGAAGTGCTAACTCATTTCAGAAGCCCAATGGTAGCTAGAGATGAGGTGAGGATGGAGGGGTAAGAGAGGTGATGGAATTTTAGAAATACTATTAAGAGAGAAAAGAGTTTATTGGGAGACATTAGGCACGGCCACAGGGAGGCCTTCTCTCTAACCTTCGCTGGATTCCCGCCCCAGCTTCATCTTTCTTTCTATTCTTCCACCCTATGTATGTTTGATGATACATTTTATCACAGCCTAATTTAGTTTGCTCTCTGTCTATGTCTTCCCACAGGAATGACAATTCAGAGAGCAGAGGCCTTCTGTGTTTACCGTGCATTAGTGCCTGGACACAGTAGATGCTTGAGAAGATCTCTTGAATGACTGGGCCAATTCAGAAAAGTCTGTCGGAGGGAAATGGGGCAGGACATGGGGAGATTTTAACCCGGCAGCCCTACTTACTGGGTAGAGTGGTCCACGAAGTCACCTGCCAAAAGGGAAGGAGGAAGGGAAGGGACCTCTTGTGCAGGAGAAGAGCTGCAGTGGGAGTGCCGCTCTGGAAGGATTGTTCAGACACTTAAATGCTGAAGTGTCTTATCTCACAAGTTGAGCATCTCCGGGTGAGGGCAAGAGCTGGATGCAGAGGACTCAGTAGCTAGAGTGGGCGGAGGCCACTGGGCTGGAGATGGTCAAGGAGTGAGAGTCCCCCACATAGACTCTGGGACTAGAGAAGGCCCAAGAGCCTGAGTCCACAGCGCTGTGGGACAACAGCCAGGTGGTGGAGGAAGCCACACAGAAGAGTGGCCGGGACCTGGCTCCGTCACCTTCTCCTTTCCAAACTCTGCCGGCTCGGTCAGATCAGCTGATATTTTATCCCCTGTGTCTGGAGCTGAAAATTAATGTCCTTTTCAGACTGAGTCATGTCTGTCCTTTTAAAATGACACTAATATGTGAAGTTTACAGGAGGCAGACATTTTCTGTATAGATTCCCTTTTTTAAAGAAAAAAAATAGATGACATCCTGCTGACCTTCGGGAACTGACCCGCACTGGGCAATATTTTCAAACATTGAAACAGAGAATCAAAACTTAAGGGGAGAAAGAAACCTTAGAGTTAGGCTCACACCTTTGTTTGCATAGCTGAAGAAAACCGTTGCAGAACCACTTGGAACAGCACATAATTACTGATTTGGGTGTGCAGGTAGCCTTGCAACTATCTTCAATTTTGGAAGTGGGCTTTAGACAGACAAAATAGCAATGCTTACGTTTATTTCAGTTATCTGTGTTCAACTGTTGATATAAAAATCTCCAAAGTAAAAAAAAAAAAAATCACGTAAATTGTTCCTGTCCAGTTCAGAGAAGTTTAACTGCTTCCTGGCGTGCAAGAGGAAGTCAAACCTTCCCAAACCTTTTGATGTCCGTGCTAAATATAAGAATACTCTCTGCAAAGTAGTCAAAGCAAGACACAGCAGCATTTGTGATTTCTCGAGCGAGACACACATAAAGATTATTTTTCGTTCACGAAAACCTTCAATTGCGTCTTCCACAATACCCAAGGTAGAGTGCTGTCTTATGTAATCGGAACCTTCTCTCCAAAATCAGTTGGTAGGCGAATACCCAATTCCGCCCAGAATTTCAGAGTACTTTTACCTTACCTGCAGTCACTAATCACCATTGCACTTACCATTTGTACAGATGAAAATAGCGGAGACTTGCTCCATAGGGTTAAAACAGGTGATAGAGACCAATTTAAAGGCTCTCCCCCCAAATCACTGGTCCCCCCAGCTTGCCCAGGCAGTGGGAACAATAAGTAGAGTCCGTTTGTCTTTCCTTGCAGGGCGGCGCACATGCAAAGTACCGGGCAGGGGACGGCCGCGAGTACCTGGGTACCTCAGGTTCAGGGTTACGGCGCCAGCCAGGATGTACCGGGAGAAACCACGCGTTGCCGGGACTCCGAGCTGCAGGCGCACCTGGACGCCCCGGCAGCGCGGCCCCTCCTCGCCCTGCCCGGGTCCTACTCGGGTTCCCGGGCGCAGGGGCCAGGGCAGGCTCGCAGCCTTGGCCGCCGCCGCCCGAGGGCAACTGAGAAAGTTCCTTCGCCTCGACGTCGCCGCCCCCCGGCCCCGCTGGCCCCGCAGCGGCCCCGCCGAGCGAAAGGTCGCCGCAGGGAGCAGGCGGCGCGCGGAGGGACTGTCCCCGGGGCAGAGGCAGCGGCAGCCGCCCCCTCCGGGCCCCGGGCTCCCGGCCCCGGGCTCCCGGGCGCGCAGCCCGTACTCACCGCCCTTCGCTCGGGATCCCCAGTTGGCGACCGCAGAGGGCAGCGCGGCCGGAGCCGAAGCCGGGTGGCGGCGGGGCTGGCAGTCGGAGGCCGGAGAGCGGCGGCGGCGGCGAGGAGGAGGGTCAGAGAAGGAAGAGGCGGTGGCGTCTGCAGACTCGGCGTAGCAGGAGCAGCCCGTGCGCCCCAGAGCGCTAGCCAGTGGCCGCCTCGGCGGGGGCTTTATCGCCGCCCGCCAGGCCCCCGCCCCTTCCTGCCGCCCCCGCCCCGCCCCGCCCCGCCTTCCCGCCGCCTCCTTTGTGTGCCAGCGGCCGCAGCGTCCCCGCGCCCGCACTCCCGGACGCCCCCACTCTCGACGCCGCCTGGTGGATTCCACCCCCCAGGGGTTCCAGTTGCGGGGCTGCGCCCAAAAATCTCCGGGAGACGCGGCGACCCCGAAGTGAGGCGCCGGCCAGGGCCAAGCAGCACGTGGGTCGCCGGGATCCGGGTGTGGGTGGGAGGAGGAGAGACCCAAGGGCTCGCGGCGGGATCCCGGGTCGGAGCGCGAGTCTTCTTGGCTGTGCCTTGGGAGAGGCACGGTGGCGCCTCGGGACAGTGCTCATCGGTCTGGGCGATGCGGATAACGGTGCCAGATAGCGGGCAGGAAGGCACCGATCACCCCTCGAGGTGCTTTGCAGGGTGCCCCAGAGCTGACTTCTCCTGCCATGGGGACAGAGAAACGGCAGCTGGTCTCATTAGGCGGAAGGCAGACAAGGGAATTTAGAAACTGGATTCCTGGCAGTGGTGACAGCGTGAGGAACGCGCAGAGTGCTGGGGATCCAGCCCTTTCCTACCCGTAACTACAGCAGAGGGGACAGGACCTTGTGCGCAGCGGCGAGGGCGCAGACCCCTGGGGCCGGTGACGGACGACTGTCCGCATCCCAGGTGTATTCCCACAGCTTCTTTATTCAGCCTCCTTTGCGTCAACTTAGGTTTGTGGGGACCCAACTTAATGACACAATTTATGTTTCCATTAGTGCAGAGCCCTCACCGGCAGGCCCAGGGCCCCAGCCCTGAGAAAGAGATGTGGTGAATCTCCTAAAACACAGCCTTGAATGGAGGCTGCATCCACTGACTGGAGCGACTTGGAATCTACAACTGCCGCGTGGGCGATCATGCTAGACGGTGTGTGCATGTGTTGGGGTGAGAAAGTTGCTTTTAAGTGTAAAATCTGGACTAGCCTAAGGGTATACACAGCTTCTCTCAAAGCAGTGGGAGGCTTGGCCCTTACATAAAAAAGGAAACAGTCCACAAAAAGAAAACTTGTTTCCTTGTTTACAGCCAGGCCTGATATTTATATCCAATTACAGAGCAGGATTTAAATCCTTTTTTCCTCGTTGGTCCCTCTGCCTGAAATAATACCCCCCCCCCACCCCATGATTTCACAATCTCATGATTGTCTCCTTATTTATACTTCAGGACACAAGTCAAATGTCACCTCCTCTAGGAAGTGATATTTGCACGAAAGTCACTTCCTCTCTTCTGCAACCTATTGCTTCCTAGACCTTAGCGTGGTTTGGTTTTTGGTGGTTTCTTGGCTCATTTCCCCCCACCCTTCCTCATGAGAATATGTGCTCCCAGAAAGCAGGGAAGAGAAACCAGTTTAGCACGGTTTCCAACTCACCCAGTCCCTGGTTCCTGGAGCCTACAGGCACACTAGTTGCTCAATAAATGATTGTTGGAGGTTGGTGAACAAGCAAGCCCCTCGTGACGTTTGACGGGATACGTTACTGCCCCCAGGCACCGTCTAGTCAGGAGGGTGAAGTGGAGCTGGGAAGAATAAGGTGGGATGGCAGAGGCTAGAGGAGAAAAAGCCCAGAGGTGGGTGTGAGCTTGGTGCATTTGAGAAGCTGGGAGGAGCCCCGTCCAGGTGGAAGGAAGTCATTCAATGGGCTAGTGAGGAAACAAACCAGCACCAAGAAGTGTGGGTGCAACCAGGTTACCACAGCCTGCCTGATTCCCCACATCCGTTTCGACCTCAATCACTTGTTTTAACTGCACACTTTTATTGCGATAACTGCACGTCCACGTGGAATTGTGAGAAATGACGCAGAGAGAGGTCCTGTAAACTTTGTGTAGTTTTCCCCATCAGAAACACTTGGGAAAATAATTGTCTAACATCACAAATCAGGATATTAACATTGATGCATATTGCAAACATTTTGCTTAATTATTCGCAATGTTAGATTGTTAGTAAAGTTACTCTGAAGTTAAAAAAAGTAAAGTTACTCTAAGTTTTTGAAAGACATGAACAAATAATACTTTAAAGGGTTTTAGTTTCTTGTTTTAATGGAACCAACATTTTTTAGGAAAATAAGTTTCATTTTACCAGTTAGAGAGGGTCTAGGCTCCAGATTCTTCATGTATAAAAGATCCGCCAGAGTTTCTGGGACTACTTCATATTTACATATTAATGACGTCCATTCACCTCCCTGTCCTCCCCAGTACTGTGGAAGGAACATTTTGAGCAACACTGTACCTGACTTGTCAATCTGAAGTCAGACAGGATGCAGTGTTAACTAATATGCTAAACTAAGCCCAACCACCAATGCGCCTTCCTCTGTCCTTGGACATTGGATGGGACTGCCAATGAGTGTCTCCCGAAGGCAAATGATTCAAGACAAAGACCCATTCTGCCAGCCGTATATGCCGGGAATACCAACTATGCTTATTACGGAATGTGCATGGCTGGTGGTGGCCGGTCTTCCTGGTGCCCTTAGGAGGATACAGAGGACTCTCCTCAGCTTTCAAGTGACATTCCAGTCAGTAGGCACTTGAGCACCCATCATTAGGGGGCTGCCCCAAAGCAGCTTACTCCTACCTCAGTTGGTGTCCAGGGGCAACAGTCCATCCAGTGTCCCACCCTCTTTGAAATCTATTTCTCAAAGATGCGCACTTTTAGTCAGCATTTGCCTCGCCTTTCTATGATGGTCTTGTTCAATAAACCCAAATCATTAAATGCTCCTACCTGCCTCTTTCTTTGCAACTTTACATTCATGGCTGAATTTCATTTTGTCCTCCAGTTATGTGGCTTGCCTTAGTTCTTGGAGAGAGCTTCATATTGTTTATTCTGTTAAAAGGTAAAAAAAAAAGTGATCTGGAGTTTAGCCAGCTCCAGCCAGTCTCTGAGTTTGGCTTTGTGTCCCTAAGCCACAGTTGGGAGAAACGCAAGAAATGCCCAAACAGAATAAAACAAATGATCTATTTAGTCTCGTTTCCTCTCTTGGAAGAGGTCCAGTGTTGAGTGCTCTGGAAGAAGATGAAAACCCGCCCCCTCAACCCTCTGTCCCCCCATACACACTGACAGTATGACCTTGTATGTAAGTAAAAACTACCCCTAGCTTCCCATGGGTGATGGTATTTTGTCTGGAAGAGGGACTGAGGTTTCAATAGTAAGATAACAGTTGCTCCTCTCCTATCTCAGCCCATGGAAAATGCATTACCCCACAGGATGACTTGTTACACATTATAGATGCAAATGCTGTTATGTAAGATTGTTCACCTGGGTGAAACAATATATTGGTTTCTGTATATATGTATTGGAAACAATATATTGTTTCTATAGCCAGAAAAGGAGACTAGTTATAACAGTTCACTCATACAATTAGTTTCTGGGACTGTTGCATTGTTACAGTTTTTCTAAAGCTTATAAAGGGCATTTGTCTTGTTAGTTCCCTTTCAAGTCGCCTTTCAAAAGGATTGGAAAATAAATCCAATTTCCTTTTGCTATAACTTCTGAAGCAGATGAAACCAGAGCATCAATTCACACTTTCCTATTTTCGTCACTGCCTTTCACCAAAAGCCTCAGAGAAAAGACATCACTAAGTGCTGAGCTGAGTATTATTTTCTACTTATATGGGGCAGGGGGGAGGGGGGCAAAAGGTTTATAGTTGTGCATATGGAGAATATTACAATAATTAATACATAACAATACAAGAATGAACTCTGTTTCGTGTATTCACAACTGTAAACCTACTTTTGCCCCACTTTGTATTTGGCCAAGTGCGATGGGAAGCCAGAAGGATTGTGTGATAGTGACCCCTCTGTACAGCAAACTAGCTCTTCTTCCTTTACACCCAAACAGTGGATGCTGCCTGCGCACTTCCATACAGGTCTCTGACCTGTTTCTTACCGGCATCGCTGCCTGTGGCCCCCCCACCCCCTCAAAGCTCTGTTACCAATAATTTCCAATGCCGGCCCTGGCAGTTTTTCATCTTTTTCTTTTTTACCACCCTTGATCTCTGGGTAGCATTGAACTCCAGTGTTTTGCCCATTTTTTTTGAAACTCCTTTGCATGTTCTCTTTCCTCCAATTCCGCACGCAGCCTTATCCTCTGCTCATCAAATCCTCCTCCTCCTCCATACGTGGGTGCTATGCAGTTGCCTGCCTGCTGCTCCCTCTCCTCACACTCTTCCCAAGGAGGGAACATTGATTGGTTTGTGGCCCCCCTGGCATCTCTCCCCCTGTCTTGATAGTAGAATCTGCTCTGCTTTGGAGAATCATGCCTCCTGTTCTGTGTGCCTTCCCTGTCAAAAATGGAAGTCAAGGTGCCTTTACTTCCCCTAGCCAAGGGGGAGCGTCTGACCAGGCTAACTGGATCCCCTCCCTGGGCTCTGAGTCCTGAAGGAGTGAGGGGAGGCATTGGAGCTGACTTGTCTCAGCTTGCTAAGGTGCTTTGTGACTTCTTCCCAGCTGGACCCCCAAAGCACCATGGTCCCCCTTTGAGCAGAGAGAGGTCCACAGTGGACTCTTCTGAGCCTCTTCCATTTCTAGCCAGATTCTGCTTCTGTAGCTTCCAACCAAGGACCCCTCACTGACATGCCCAGATGTGTGTGACTTGGCTTCGTTCTGGGTGAACTCCAAGCCTGTACCTACACATGGCCTTGACCACTGTCCCAAGTTCCCAGTCACATACCTTCCAATGCCTGGCAGAAACTTCCACTCAATACCCCATGATCACCTCCCATCTAACATGTCCAGAACCCATTCATTCTCGTCCTTCCCAAAGCATTTCCTCCTCCCGCATCCCCTCGGTGTCCTACAGGGATGGCCTGCCATCTTGGTCACCGAAGCCAGAAAGATGGGGATTCCTCTGACTCCTTCGCTTCCTTTAATTCATCCCCCATCCAGTCATTTCTGGGGGCAATTTATAATTTTCTTCCCATATC